TCTCTCTCTCTGGCCTCTCTCTCTCTCTCTCTCTCTGGCCTCTCTCTCTGGCCTCTCTCTCTGGCCCCTCTCTCTCTCTGGTCTCTCTCTCTCTCTCTGGCCTCTCTCTCTCTCTGGCCTCTCTCTCTCTCTGGCCTCTCTCTCTCTCTGGCCTCTCTCTCTCTCTGGCCTCTCTCTCTCTCTCTGGCCTCTCTCTCTCTCTGGCCTCTCTCTCTCTCTGGCCTCTCTCTCTCTCTGGCCTCTCTCTCTCTCTGGCCTCTCTCTCTCTGGCCTCTCTCTCTCTCTGGCCTCTCTCTCTCTCTCTGGCCTCTCTCTCTCTCTCTGGCCTCTCTCTCTCTCTCTGGCCTCTCTCTCTCTCTCTGGCCTCTCTCTCTCTCTGGCCTCTCTCTCTCTCTCTCTGGCCTCTCTCTCTCTCTCTGGCCTCTCTCTCTCTCTCTGGCCTCTCTCTCTCTCTGGCCTCTCTCTCTCTCTGGCCTCTCTCTCTCTCTGGCCTCTCTCTCTCTCTGGCCTCTCTCTCTCTCTGGCCTCTCTCTCTCTCTGGCCTCTCTCTCTCTCTGGTCTCTCTCTCTCTCTGGCCTCTCTCTCTCTCTCTGGCCTCTCTCTCTCTCTGGCCTCTCTCTCTCTCTGGCCTCTCTCTCTCTCTGGCCTCTCTCTCTCTCTGGCCTCTCTCTCTCTCTGGCCTCTCTCTCTCTCTGGCCTCTCTCTCTCTCTGGCCTCTCTCTCTCTGGCCTCTCTCTCTCTCTGGCCTCTCTCTCTCTCTCTGGCCTCTCTCTCTCTCTCTGGTCTCTCTCTCTCTCTCTGGCCTCTCTCTCTCTCTCTGGTCTCTCTCTCTCTCTCTGGCCTCTCTCTCTCTCTCTGGCCTCTCTCTCTCTCTCTCTCTCTCTGGCCTCTCTCTCTCTCTGGCCTCTCTCTCTCTCTCTGGCCTCTCTCTCTCTCTCTGGCCTCTCTCTCTCTCTCTGGCCTCTCTCTCTCTCTCTGGCCTCACTCTGGTCTCTCTCTGGTCTCTCTCTGGTCTCTCTCTCTCTGGCCTCTCTCTCTCTGGCCTCTCTCTCTCTGGCCTCTCTCTCTCTGGCCTCTCTCTCTCTGGCCTCTCTCTCTGGCCTCTCTCTCTGGCCTCTCTCTCTGGCCTCTCTCTCTGGCCTCTCTCTCTGGCCTCTCTCTCTGGCCTCTCTCTCTGGCCTCTCTCTCTCTGGCCTCTCTCTCTCTGGCCTCTCTCTCTGGCCTCTCTCTCTCTGGCCTCTCTCTCTCTGGCCTCTCTCTCTGGCCTCTCTCTCTCTGGCCTCTCTCTCTGGCCTCTCTCTCTGGCCTCTCTCTCTCTGGCCTCTCTCTCTCTGGCCTCTCTCTCTCTGGCCTCTCTCTCTCTGGCCTCTCTCTCTCTGGCCTCTCTCTCTCTGGCCTCTCTCTCTCTGGCCTCTCTCTCTCTGGCCTCTCTCTCTCTGGCCTCTCTCTCTCTGGCCTCTCTCTCTCTGGCCTCTCTCTCTCTGGCCTCTCTCTCTCTGGCCTCTCTCTCTCTGGCCTCTCTCTCTCTGGCCTCTCTCTCTCTCTCTGGCCTCTCTCTCTCTCTGGCCTCTCTCTCTCTCTGGCCTCTCTCTCTCTCTGGCCTCTCTCTCTCTCTGGCCTCTCTCTCTCTCTGGCCTCTCTCTCTCTCTGGCCTCTCTCTCTCTCTGGCCTCTCTCTCTCTCTGGTCTCTCTCTCTCTCTCTGGCCTCTCTCTCTCTCTGGCCTCTCTCTCTCTCTGGCCTCTCTCTCTCTCTGGCCTCTCTCTCTCTCTGGCCTCTCTCTCTCTGGCCTCTCTCTCTCTGGCCTCTCTCTCTCTCTGGCCTCTCTCTCTCTCTGGCCTCTCTCTCTCTCTGGCCTCTCTCTCTCTCTGGCCTCTCTCTCTCTCTCTGGCCTCTCTCTCTCTCTCTGGTCTCTCTCTCTCTCTCTGGCCTCTCTCTCTCTCTCTGGCCTCTCTCTCTCTCTCTGGCCTCTCTCTCTCTCTCTGGCCTCTCTCTCTCTCTCTGGCCTCTCTCTCTCTCTGGCCTCTCTCTCTCTCTCTTGCCTCTCTCTCTCTCTGGCCTCTCTCTCTCTCTCTGGCCTCTCTCTCTCTCTCTGGCCTCTCTCTCTCTCTCTGGCCTCTCTCTCTCTCTCTGGCCTCTCTCTCTCTCTCTGGCCTCTCTCTCTCTCTCTGGCCTCTCTCTGGCCTCTCTCTGGCCTCTCTCTGGCCTCTCTCTGGTCTCTCTCTGGTCTCTCTCTGGTCTCTCTCTGGTCTCTCTCTGGTCTCTCTCTCTCTGGCCTCTCTCTCTCTGGCCTCTCTCTCTCTGGCCTCTCTCTCTCTGGCCTCTCTCTCTCTGGCCTCTCTCTCTCTGGCCTCTCTCTCTCTGGCCTCTCTCTCTGGCCTCTCTCTCTGGCCTCTCTCTCTGGCCTCTCTCTCTGGCCTCTCTCTCTGGCCTCTCTCTCTGGCCTCTCTCTCTCTGGCCTCTCTCTCTGGCCTCTCTCTCTGGCCTCTCTCTCTCTGGCCTCTCTCTCTCTGGCCTCTCTCTCTCTGGCCTCTCTCTCTCTGGCCTCTCTCTCTCTGGCCTCTCTCTCTCTGGCCTCTCTCTCTCTGGCCTCTCTCTCTCTGGCCTCTCTCTCTCTGGCCTCTCTCTCTCTGGCCTCTCTCTCTCTGGCCTCTCTCTCTCTGGCCTCTCTCTCTGGCCTCTCTCTCTCTGGCCTCTCTCTCTGGCCTCTCTCTCTCTGGCCTCTCTCTCTCTGGCCTCTCTCTTTCTGGCCTCTCTCTCTCTGGCCTCAATATTATCAGCAGGAAAATCACACTCAAATGTTTCATCGTCATTTTCACTGTTCTGAAAGACTGGATGTGGTTGTTGCTAAATCTCGTGTGGGCTTACACTCCTGTCTGGACTCGTTCAGATTATTCAGTGGAGAAAAGCGGAAAAAGGGCTTGACGTTGAAGGGATCGAGATATAATTATTGAATCAAAACATGCATTTAAAAAGTCTTCATGGAGATCTCACGTTCAACACATAAATTACACGCTTCATTACAAGAATCTGCTTTGAGCGGAAATGACTGCTTTAGACGAATAGAAAATCTTCAAAGCACTGAACAAGGGATGTAAACAAATAAAAAAATAAAAGAATAACAACGATGAATAATAGTGCTGTCAGTTAATGGGTTGACAGGAAATCCTGGGTCTACAGCCTCAGTCCTGGGTCTACAGCCTGTCCATCCGTAAGAGCAGATCCCCCTGTCACTACAGGCCTCCCAGTGGTTTCTCAAATGTGTTCTGTTTCTGAGTGTCTCTTCCCACTGGGTTTCTGAGTGGTTCCTTCCCGATGGTCATTCAAGGACATTTATTAACATGTCATTGGTTCTCTCACTGGCCCCTATGTGTTTGCTATTATTGCATTTCCTGTGTTTGCACTGTTTGATTCTCTGATCTGTTGGTGAATCCACAACTTTGTAAAGTCCCCAGAGTTGACTGCTGTAGTGATTTACGGCTGTACAAACATACTTTGAATTGAATTAAATTAAGTAATCTATGCAAAGATGTTGAATAGTGGTGACTGTAGACCTCAGAGACCACAGCAGATGTCCCCCAGCTCTTCACAGCTGACAGAGACACATTATGCTAATGCTCTTCTCCTGTGACCTAAAAATATCAAACCAGCCGACGTCACACATCAAACATTAATGACTGGATTTTAAACAATACAATCTGGATTTACATTTACATTCGAGGAACCAATCAAATAAAAAAAACACAGGTGCAACAGCTTTATGCAAACTTTAAACAGATACAAAAAATATATACCTTAGTTTGAATGTGTTGCCGAATAATCTATAGATTGTACATTACGATTGGAGTGACTGAGTGTGACATCACCATAGCCTTAATACGGAAAAGGCTGATCAAAAAATAAGCTAGCTGGAGCCAATTTCTTAATATGGGCATTTTTTTCCGAGGGGGTGACCAACGCGTGGCGACACTGGCAAACCATTGCCTGTAAATAGATGGATAATGCTAACCCGCTAGCTCAAAGGAACAGCTGGAACACCAGGATGACAGAGTGATAAAGCATTGATTTTTTTAAGCCCAGAATGGTGAGTGCGACACAAACGGTTACTGAGCTAGAGGAGTTTACTTTTACATGCAATCAATAGGAGCCAGAGAGAGTTGGAGCATGAGCGCTTCCATATGGGGTTTCATTGAGCTAGCGGGTTAGCATTGTCCATCTGTATAAATTCCCCAACCACCAAATATAACTATAGCACCCCTACTTGCATACATCAAACATACAAACAACACAAAAAAACGTGTGTTAGTTGCTGCAGGGCCTGTCCAGTCAGCCTGAGGTCTCCTGCTCCATCACCTCCTCCTCTTCTCCTCCTCTTTGGGGGGATCTGACAGTTTGTATTGAGGCCAGAGCTCAAAGGGGGGGTCTGTTGTCAATATTCTTTTATGGAGAAGTCTGCGTGTCATAAAGGGTGTGTCAGGGCGATTGTCTGTGCCCACTGCAGCCTGTACAGTAGTGAAGTCTCCCCAGAGCACAGGACCAGGGCTTTGTGTGAGAAACGACTGGCCAGACTTTCTATTTCTGCATTTGAATATCTCTGATGTCACACATTGTGGTGGGGGTTGTCTGTGCAGTAATTTACATGATGATTTTGCAAATGTTCAACGAAATAATTTATATTACATGAAATTAACCGTTTTGCCATCATTCCAAAGTGAGACCGTCAAATATTACTTCTGATCTACACTAGTTAGCAGTGTTATCATTTTTTCTGATTATCATTTGTGAAATTAACAGCGTTAGAATATCTACAGCCTGTGTCTGGGATCTACAGCCTCACTCCTGGATCTACAGC